AGAGAGAGAGAGAAGTAATCCAGCCCCACCCCACCTCCTCCCCCTCCCCTCCTCCTCCACCCCACCCCTCCCCTTCTTCACCCCACCCCTCCCCCTTCTTCCACCCCCCATCCCTCACCCTCCCCCTCTCCTCTTCCTCCACCCCACCCGGTCCTCACCCTCCCCCTCCACCCCACCCGGTCCTCACCCTCCCCCCGCGCACATACTCACCAGGTGTGGCGCGGCAGGTAGCAGTGAGGCGCCGAGCGGCGGCGGCGGCACCAAGGAATGGTTGTGCTGATGCATGTGTGTGTGCTGGTGTTGGTGCTGGTGCATCTCCGAGCGCACGTACGGCGGCGGCGGCGCGGCGGCGGCTGCGGCGGCGGCGGCGCGGTCACGTCGTCCGGGACGTCCTGCAGTCAGCGCGAGTCCAGCTCTCGACGCAAGATGTCCGCCTGGTCTGCAACACGGGGAAACAACACACGCGTGCTGGTCAGAACGACCTGCATGCGGTGCCATGCTGCGAGCCATAATGCTGCGAACACGGCCCCACTAAGTGCTGATAGGGTCTATGTCCCCCAGGTTACTGCTGGAACGTACCCTGGTACTATCTAACATGCCGGACCGTACCTCGCCTACTCCACTAACGAGTCTAGGGAGTCGCCTACGCCTACTCCCTAACCCTAACCCTAACACTAACCCTAACCATATCAGCTAGATAGTTCCGGTATACCGGACCGTACCCAGGGTACGTTCCGGCAGTACCCTGGGGGACATAGACCCTATCAGCCCCACTAGACCTGCACTGCTAAAGGTGGCGGCAGTTCTACGGGTAGCTCCTGCATAGCTCCTGCATTGTAGACGGGCACTGCCATAGATGTAACTGCTAAAGGTGGCGGCAGCTCTACGTACAGTAGCTCCGGCATAGTTGTTTACCTGTACTTGCAAGCAAGTTTACATCAGACTACTAACGCTAACACGGATGTACTGATGTGAAGGAAATATATTTCGTCATCATATATACGCCGCACAAAAGGGTTATACCCGAGAGGAATCCATAGCGACCGTAACCGCGGCGACCGTAACAGCGGCGACCGTAACCGTGGCGACCATAACCGTGGCGACCGTAACCGCGGCGACCGTAACCGCGGCGACACTTACTTCCGACGAAGGCCGGCGATCCGGGTGTGACGGAGGCGGGCGCGTGTAGCGACGACGAGGACGACGACGCGGCGGCGGTTAGTGGATGAGGCGGCTGTAGGGGCGCGAACATAGCCGGCGCACAGGCGCCGGGTGCTGACGGGGGCGGCGGCGGCGGGTGCAGGCCCGCGGCTGCGCCACCGTACGACGACGGCGTCTGGCTGCGCAGCGGCGACAGACTAGAGAGACTCGACGCCGACGACGGCGCGTGCGGATGAGGATGCTGCTGCTGCTGCGGAGGAGGATGCTGCGACGCGAGCAGCGGCGTCGCCGACGACGACGGCGGCGGCCGGAAGTGAGACGAGGCGGTGATGCAGCTTCTTCCTCCTCCTCCTCCTGCTGCTGCTGCTGCTGCTCGAGGGATGCTGCTGCTGCTGCTGCTGCTGCTGTAGCCGTGCGCGGACGGCGCGGACGCGGCGAGCGGCGGCAGACTACCAAGCGATGCCGCACACGTACTGCAAGCAAACAGACAGACGCATAGCGTTATAGACTGTCCCTGTTAAATATTGCTGGCACCGCGTA